GGCCACGGCCGGCGGCGGCGAGCGTGAGCGCAGCGCCCCGGCGCCCGCGCCTCGCACCGCGTCCTCGTCCCCGTCCAGCGACGCCAGCGACTCCAGGGAGCTCGATGAGTCCAGGCTCAGGCTGCGCGGCGCCTCCTGCGTGTCTGCAAGACAAACGATCAATTCGTGCGATTGGATTAGGTCGTGCTTTCTGGCGTCCTTCCACTGTTTTGGTCATTAGACCCCTAGTGAAGTGAATCCTAGGAGTTCAAGAATCCCTTCCCATCATTTTAACTATAAATTGTTGAAAGATGAGTAAAAGTTAAAGATAAATAAATAAAAACAAAATTTAAAAAAGCGTGAGTTTAGCAACATTTGAAAAAGTAGACATTTTTGTTCCCTAGAAAACTTATTTGCAACGGTAAACGAACTGTAGATTTGATTTTTCTGCATTGGTAACAAAAGTTCAACAAAACGTGCGCGTAGTGAAGCTACATTTACGTCCAGAAGCAAAACAAGGAACCAACTCAGCATTTACTCAATGTATCAGGGAAACTGGACAAAAACCTGATCGATATGGCCCATTTGTTAGGGTTTCGGCATTAGCCTGTTATTAATCGAAGAAACTACGAAAAACTATTGGACAGAGCAGCCGGCCGCTAGAATTCTCCTCCAGACAGTGGTTGCATTCGACATAGCTATGTAGCTAATGTCGAAAATTTGACATTGTCGGAACTCGAATCCTAGGACCTCCCTCCTCCAATGCAGAGCAATAACAATGCTGCATTGCGCAAAGACTGTTAAGCACAAGGAACACTATGTGCACGTGCAAAAGGGCAATCAGAGGGAGTAGGAGATATTTCAGTCCCCCATCCCATAAATATTCTAGAAATACATTTTTGTAACTTAACTTGTAATTAAAAAATGGGATTATGACTTTGCATGTGATGTGATAATTGGTGGTAATTGTGGTAATTGTAATACATAATCTGTGGTAATTGTTTTAAATAAATTGAATGAAATTATGTACCGCCCCTCCCAAAAATGTTCAATCAATTTTTATGCAGTTTAGTTATTTATAACTACAATGCACAGTATAGGAATATTATTAATCATTTAGTGAACAGTTCTTTGACAAAATGCAATCTGTTAACATGTAAGCTTATCTGTGTGATTAGGCAGTCCTCTGAGGTGTGTGTTCATTTAGGGGTTAGGCTTGAAAAGTGTGTAATCTAAAAATTGCCCATTTTGTGTCAGATTTTAAAATTTTAACTTCATGATATAATATTGATTTCTATTCTTACCAAAGAGTGCCAGAAGAGCCTGGAGCACAAATTGGATGTTCCGTCTATTAGCCTGTTTTCCTGTACGCAAGGTTACTTCATCTTGTCCTACCTCCATCAGATCAAAACCTGTGAAAAACATATGCATTATTTAGATTGGTTAGAAATATTTTTTTTAAATAGCCCAACATTTGAGTTGAAAAGCAGAAAGTGAAAGTTGCTATAAGTTTGTTGTGTCAAATTCATATTTCTTAACAAATTTAATAAGAACAAAATGTCTGTATACTAGCATAAACGAAATTCATACCTAAGGATGCCAGAAGTTCATGACAGCCTGGCACTCTCCATAACTTGACACTGATTGGAACCTCAACACTATCAGTATCGAGATTCTTCATGCCAAACTGGCCCATTACTTGACGAATGACACTAATAATATCATCTGCCACTTCTACATTGGACATAAGCTTTGATAGAGCATGTAGAGATGTGCTTGAGAGACCTATAAAATAAATGGAATTATATTCATGTTATTTGTATTTGACTGAATGACGATATTTTAACAGTAATTCTATAATAAAATTATTTTTACATTTTATTGTTCTATATAAATTCTTCAACAATTTTGATTATTTTACTTTTCATATCACTTTATTCCACTATTCATTCATATAACTTCAAATGTATTTGTACATTAAAAAGACTAACAAAGAACTTCAAAAATTATTATTTTAAAAATTTGTTCATGAAATTCAGTAAGAGAATTATTTATCTATTTCTTTGTCTCCTTAAAGAAGTAATTTGCATTCCCTACAGAGCTAATAGAAAATCAAAAATATGTTTTAAATCATTTTGAAAAATATTTCTTTCATAATTTGTTTCAATTTTGTTAATGAATTTCTCTTTAGAAGGTTTGCAGTTTCTTTGTCAATAATAAAAAAATATTTCTGTACCTAATAAAGCTTGGAGGCTAGCACTGCACTGGGTTAGACGCTCATCTGGGTCACTTTGAGGGAAGAACACAGAACTTGGAATTCCATTTGCTGCAGGCTCAAACCGGAAGCCTACAGACATCAGAAGTTCCTTCCAACCTGACACCATACCCACTTTGTTCTCAATGCTCTTTTGTGTTGTATACATGGCGTTCTTCTGGCCACGATGAATACGCTGCAAAGACTTCTCAACCTACAAAAAATAGTAAATTTGTATTAAGTTGCTAAATACAAGATAAAATGAATTTCAATAAATTAATGTGTACCTGTTTTAAATATTTTGAAGGAGAAAACTCGTTGTAAAAATTTAATACAAATTGTGTTTCAAAAATAGTTTTGAAATAAGTAACTTACCAGGTGTAAGGTGACTCTTAAAGCATCACGGCATTTCTCTGGGTTGCGTAGCAGTTCACACAATGCTTGTCCCATTAGAGCCACTTTATTACTAAGCCGCACATCTGCCCCAACCAATACAAATCCCGCCCAGTTGGCTGGGTGTGCAAAATGCTTTGTGTGTTGCACAGTCAACATAGCCTCTGCCAATGCCCGACTTACACGTGAACCCTGTAAAGTTTAAGTAGGTTACATTAAAATGATTAAAAAACTTGTTTCACTGTGAAAGTGATATATTGTATATGAAAATATTCATTTGAATGTGATGAAAACTATTTTAAAAAGAATTATGAAAAAAGAAGCATAACAAAATTATTTTAACAAAATTAACAAAATAATTTTAATATGCCACCAACTGTAATGGTTTTAAAAAAAAGTGAAATTCTCTCTCCTATTATTTCTCAGGAATACTTTAACCTTGTAGCATAAGATTGAAAATTTAAAAAAAGTCAACATTCTTGATCCATTCAGATAACACAATTTCTTCATGATTCTAGATAAATCCATTTACATGTCCAAGAAAACTAGCACTTCAAAAGTTATTCCCTTTCAATGTGTTCTTAAATATCAGTTAATGTGGAGAAAATATTACCTGCAGAAGAGCAGAGTAGAATGCTCGTAGTAAAATGCGTGTTGCTGTGTCTGGCACTGGCCATAAGGATACCAACACACACTGCGCACCGGCCGCCAGGAGGGCTCTTGTCAGGCCCACCACGCCATCAGCACAAGCTCTTCCATGATGATCTCTGGTGTGACTGGAGCTTACAACCACAAGCCTTGCTGATAGTCTGAGCTGCAATAATTCTGCTGCTGTCAGGAGGAACTCAGGTAGAGATGGAAGTTCCATTGTTGATGAAACCTAAATCGTTGCATAAAATGATATTATTATCAAAAATATTACAGTAAATTCTATTAAGAAGAGCAGATAAAAAAAATGCATTTTACTGGCGTTTAGAAATGAGGAAGAAATGTTATTTTAGCAACCAATAATATAAATATAATTTATTTTACTCTGAAGAAGAGCAGAAAATCATAATAATATGAGATTGATAGTTTTATATTTCACTAATCTAGGCTACCTCCAGTGGTTTCAAAAGTGATTTCCACAACTATAGGAGTTCAATGTGTAGTGCAGTTCTTTAAAATGTCACACCTTTGATGTTTTAAAGATCTGTGGTATAATGCCTAGCAAAATTAGTAAGTCCTATGACAATTCTCATCCTAAGCAGATCCCTTATTGTCTAGGCAGGGTAAAATGATGTAAATATATCCATTATTAGACACAATTGTAGCATTGGTTCCTTGTGATCAATACAGGAACCATAATTTACTAGGATGGGGAGCCATAGTAGTGAAAAAAAAATCACATTAAAACAGTTTGTGTGAGGCCAATGAATACATTATCAGAGACAGAAAATATACTCAAAACCATGCTCTGAATGTTCATCTTTATTGAATTCATGTATATAACATATGCTGATTATCACCTCTGAGCCATCTTCATCTCCTTGCTCATGGCCTTGGTCCGAACCAGGTGGTGCAGTGGCGGCAGCAAAGAAGCGCTTGCTCTGTTGGGAGTCAACAACATCCCCAGGTGACAGCACCACAGCACACAATTTCCAGCTGACATGACAAGCAAGATGGACACACTCAGCATCACTGATTTGCCGCAAAACTGCTTCTTTATTTGCCTGCAAAAAGAAAAACACATTTTTTCATTGTTTTTTTTTATTTGATATTTTTTACATTGGTAATAATGTGTCTTGATTTAATTGATTAAGATTAATTAATTGATTATGTAATTTGATAATTTGTGGCCTTCATTTAACTTACATTAGTACATAATTTTGTGAAATTTATAAAACTAACTTTTCAATTTTTCTAACAAATTGGGTAAACTCACTTAATTGATTTCATTCTTTCTCATTTTTGGAGATAACATTTTTTTGGTATTTAAGTTATCTTAAAATAGAACTAGTAGATTGAGTTTTAAGTATTTGTCTGATAATTTGATTTACTTTAAAAGAGTAGATTTGTGGATCATTCTTGAGAGAAATTGACTAGTTGATGGACTACATTCTTCAAACTATTGACTGAAATTAGTCTCCAATGGGTCATGATGTTGATCATAAAAATTTAATAATTTTTGTTGTTTTTGCTGTAATGTATACCTGAGATCCAACAAGAGCCTTTGCTTGTAACATCTCTGCAACCATGGCGGCCTCCTGCTCTGCATAGGGAAGGTCTCCCCAACCCCACTGTTCTGTGACCGATGTTGGCAAGCGTGGGTTGCCCACCACCATTGCAGACATTCCTGCAGTTCCTCCACTACTGCTACCTGACCCTCCTTGTCCTGCATCCAGGCCTCCTGAAATATAATATGCTGGCTGCTTGAAATGCTCATTCTACCTTTCTGCATGTTCATATGCCCCATCACATGCTATTGTTGTAATATTTCATTATGATCAATTGAAGAAGCAATGTGTAATACTTGTGTTTCTGAAATAGTGTCAAACATATTTCACCATCTTCTTTAAAGAGGATTGACTTCTCATGAATAAATTGTGCTCATCATCATATATATGGTCCCTCTATATTTTTATTTTACATTCCAGCTTCAGTCTTTGTCCAAAAATAAGAATAGTGAATAGAATTTAAAGGTGTTGAAAAATATGACTGTATCAAGAAAGGTTTTCATATTTTAATATCTAAAAAACCCAAGGTTTTGATTTTCATTTGCTGGAAGCAATTCAGAACTATCTTCAGAAGAAGCTGCTATGGGCTGATAATCAGTCTGAAGTTGGATTTCACTAATTGGCTTTCAACTTGATACACAATTAATAACGAAATATTTACCCGCTCCACTTGTAGAACTGGAAGCTTTTGCCAGAAGCCCTGTTCGAGCTGTGCGTTGACTGTTGCGTAATGAGGTAAGAGAAGGCACCACCAGCAAAGAGAAGCGCTCACACAGGTACTCAGAACCATCCACACCTCCACCAGATGGTTTCAGGACAGGGAAGGGCACCAAGTAAAGCTCTCCTTCCAGAACCAATAATAATTCCCGACGGCCAGCACAGCCCTTTCCATGAGGCACTGAAACCCAAATTTAGAAAATGATAATGTGGATTTGTTTAGAGGACAAGAGGACAGCATATTTGTTTTGTTGAAACTTGATTAAATATTCTGTGAAAACTAGAAGCAAATAAATCAAAGACTAGGTGGCATACTTGTTACTAAATATGATCAAATACCTTGAACAGTAAAATTATCAGAATAGTAACAATTAATTAACAATTCAAATAAATAACTTTCTTCAAGATGAGCTGCAAAATATATATTTTAGGGGCTTGTTAGCATCAAAATCTATGAGTTTTGAATATATTTCACAACTTTTGATTCAAGCTGATATATAATGGAATGTTGCTTAAGAGTACTATTATATCACTCACTTCATCTGAAATAATTTCTTCATAGATCAAATGTCAAAAAACTTCAATTGTCAAAAAACTTGGCATTCCAAATTTCCCTACTTAGTTTTCCAGACTGAGTGACTTACATTATTTGATTTTAGTGAATTTATTCAAGATTCTAAATAGGATTATTAAAATGAGTTTGGCCTCACAGGCTCCAGTGTTCTTGCCACACGTAGAAGGCAAACAGTCTTCAAAGGGAGCAATGAGCAGCTGGTACAGAGCCCCAAGGCAGGCTGGTCCTTGCCACGATGGATGTGCTGGAGCATGACGCCGTGACCGAGTGCTACCAGGACGAGAAGTGGGCCCTCCACTTGCTACACTGCCTCCCACACTCCCCAAGCTGTGAATATCAGAATCATAAAGTCAGTAGTGAAAGAGTGCAGAGTAACTTTAATAACAGTGTAGAATTTAGGACTTCAAAAACACTATACAAATTTTGGAAAGAGTTTAAATTATCATTTTAAATATTTTGATTATTATTCAGATATGTAATAATATCTTTCAAACCAAGAAATTGAAGGAAGATACAGAAAAAATCAAATCAAAGGGCTGTAAATTATTTGTTTCAGGAATCTCCCTAATAAAATTGGAATTGTTTACATATTAAATGGAAATAGATTTACAGTGAAATTTAGAAAATACTGTGAAACATTGGTTTCTTATCAGTTACTCAATAATTTCATTTTCTTGTAACTATTAATTTTAGGTAATAAAATATTTCAAATTAAATTGGAAGAAAAGGGATAGAGTAATTAGACACATTAGAAATTTCCGTAGAGAGTGTCACTTTTTCTCACCTGAACAGGCTACTTAAGCTGTAGTTGCTTGAATTGAACAGGTGATTCCTATTCACCATTCTCAAGAAGCCAGTTCTGTCCCCATCCTGGTTCAGTCGGTCGCCTAACTCCTCCAGATGTTGAGCCCAGGCATCGCCAGGATCCCGATCGCTTCCGTGGTCAGCAAGATTTGCAAGGGATCCTCCTCGTGAAGTCACAGTGTCAATTCCAAGAGCATCTCTAACATTTTGAATGTAGCATTCCAATAATGAGCCTGTAGTTGCCAGCAGTTCTTCTCCTCCCGTGCTGCCACTGCCTCCTGTACTTGCTGCCTCACCTTCTCTCTCTGCTTCCACCTCACTGACTGCCACCTCATGAAATCTTACAACACCTACAAAAAATAAGGAGTTTCTATAATTATCTGGAAAAGTGTTTGAGAGAAACAAGTAATTATAAAGTGCAAAAGATGAATGCCTAGATACAGGATGGATTTTTGGCATTTGAGTCCATTATACTTCTATTTGCAAAAATCATAGTCCTGATTTATGGCAGTGGATCAGATATTCAAAAACAGAAAACAATATATCTATGTTACTAATTTCAATTTATGCCGTGTAGCTTTGGCCATTTATGGGGGTCTATGGTTTCATTGCATTCCTAGGCATTGGGGTAAATCCAAAACCATCTATATTAGTAGTTTTCACACAGAAATTGAAAGTAAACTAAGCAGCCCCCATTTATATAAGGAGTGTGTTTGGTTTTCTTGGATACCCAGGAACTTTGGAAAAATCCAAAAACAATGAAAAGGATCAAATAATAAAAAAATGAAAATAATGTAATGGAAAGTAAACATTTTTACTGAATAATAAACTGAATAAAAGGTTGATTGTGTTATTTTATCTTTTCTCAAACCATAAACTGATTCAGTTCTCAATACATCCCTCTTTAAGACACAGATAATGATACGCATTTAAGGAAAAGGCCACACAACATTTAATATTTATTACTCACATGTTGCATTATGGAACAAAAACTTTTTTTTATATTCTTGGTATGCAAAGAGCTTTTGTATTGTATGTATACTATAGCATTTTCGCTGCTTCAGGCCACTAGCTTATATAAAAAGCTATTAGTTTTATTTTATAGACTCTTTTAAATAATTGTATTGAATAAAAAGGAATTTCAAGTTAATTAACTGGAAATTATACACTGATTAAATTTTAATTACATACCCTTTCCAGGGACAATAAACCAGCAGTACAGATAGCCAGCAGCTAGACTGTAGTATAAAACAGATGCCTTCTGCCTGTTCACAATCTCCACCAATTGCTCCACTGAGCTAGGTGCATTGTCTTCAGCTGGGCGAGGGGGCAGTGCATTACGCAGAGTGCTTCCTGTGAGGCTGTTACCACTTCCGTTTAAGGCTGCAGCTCGGGCTTGTCTCTCCAGTAGAAGTTCTGCATGAGCTCTTGTACGACCACGTTCTGCTACAAGCAGAGCCTCTTCTGGTCGGTTGAGACCTACTAATACTCTCTGTAAATGCAGAAACATTTATGTTACTTTTATAGATTAAGTAATCCAGCAAGTTTTGAACTGCATCATTGACAAATAATTTGTGCACTAAGAAATAATCACAGGAAACAAATTCTAAAGATTGAGCCAAAAAGTTTTTCTCCTTTTCTACCTGAAGTGCTTGGTAGGATGCAGTCTGCAGGTCATATAGAGCCATTTTATAATCAGATGATACAGTAGGAGGTGACTCTCTTCGAACCAGTTCCAAAAGAAGAGCAGCTCTTTCTAGTTGCACTTGTGAGCCCTCAAGGTCTCCATGACCCCACAGGGCCAAACCCAGTCGGTGACGAATTCGGGCTTCTTCTTCCCTATGGCCAAGGTGCTCAGCAATCTGCAGACCTTGCTGAAGATAAGCCACAGCTTGACTGGTGTTACCCAGGGCATGGTGAATGCGACCTAGAACAAATGTTTCCCCTACATTTGATTCTTTCATTGCTTGGAAAACGCTTATTAAGATAAAGTGATGTCTAAGGAATTGAATTTTAGATAGGTGATAAAATATGCAATTTTTCTCCTATGTATACTAAGTATTGTTAGTTATGAAAGAAAATTCACTATGAACTTTGTCTCACAAATAGGCCTAATTGTCACATTTTATTTTAGTTAAGAATGAACTAAAATTGAGGGTTTTGACTATTAGATAACAAAAACTCTGAAAGGGATGTAATAGCAGTTGTGGGATGATTATATTGATGAAAGAGAAACAAAAATTATCCATAAATAATGTTCTTCCCCATGTCTTCCAAGGTATTACTTTGCTTTTTTTTGGTCCTTTGCCTCTTGCTCTTGCTCAGTTATGTTGAAAGTATATGAACATAAAAATTAAATAATAAATTATTTTTTTCAAACCTACCAAGGCGTGAATAGCTTGAGTTGTGGCTTAAATTTATCATTGGTCTGAGCTGCCTACACTTAGATGTGTTCTTGGTAGCGAATCTGCTTCGTCGAAATTGCCCAAGGATTCATGGACAGTTCCCAAGTTACCACAAGCTCGTCCTTGTAAGGCAGCAAGTCCCAATTCTTTCTGCTGTAGGCAATCTGCTGATGAGTAGCGAAGTGCAGTAGAAAATTCTCCCATTTGTTGGTAAACTGCCCCTAATCCACAAGCTGCATCCGCTTCTGCCACTTTGTCTTTCAGTTCCCTTCAACATTTTTTAAGACATTCACAAAATTACATTCTCCGTATTGTTCTTTAAGTTATATGTGATGGAAGTATGAAAATGTGATTTATAATATATAAATTCATTCATTAGATAAAATGTTTTGATTTAAATTTTAAAACATTTATACATCACAATTTTCTGATGTATTTTTGTTTATAATGTCATACCAAGAAGAAAATTCTTTGTAATTTGAGGAGTTAATACTCAAGAAATAATAGTTGAGAGATAAGATTCCTTACCTTGCAATGGCTAGTTGATGTTCAAGACAGGAAATTGCCTGTTCACAATTACCCAACAGACTGTGCACATGGCCAAGTTCTCCATATGCTTGAGCACGAGCTTCAGGACTGTCAAGTTCATGTGCTGCCACAAGCCGCTTCTCAAAGCACACAAGTGCTTGCTGTAAGTCCCCAAGGCAACGATGTGCATGGCCCAAGCCACGATATGCTCGCTCTTGATCTCTGGCAGATTTGAGCTTCAGACCAAGGCTAAGATGTTGCTCATGACATTTTACAGCTTCCTCTAAATCACCTAGGGCATCATAGCAGTCTCCCAGGTTTCCAAATGCACGACCCTAAGAAACAGAATAATTACTTGTACAGAATATGAATAAATTATTTAATATTTAAAAAAATCTGGTTCCAGTGAATTAACCTTCTTAAACTTTGAAGATCCACCTCTGTAATAGTGGCACGTACTTGTTTTTTTTGAAAAATTAGGCCAATTAAAGTATTGCCAATGTGACATTTCATGCAGTACTGAAGAAAATGATTGAGACAATCAAATGTGTAGTAAACAAATTTATTGTTGGATTTAAGTTGCATAAAATTTACCTTGTCTAATAAAGCTGTAGGAGTTGATAATTGTTCCAAAGTGGCTAATTGTTGTTCAAAATATCCTATTGCATCTTCGTAGTGTCCCATATTTAACCTTGCGATACCTAGGTTTCCGAAGGCTTGGGCTTCTACTGCACTGTCTTTGAGCTCTTTAGCCCTCTCCAGCTGTTCCTGATAACACTTCATGGCATTGGTGTAGTTGCCCAGGGACATGTGTACTGCTCCCAGATGACCATGGGCTCTACACTCACCTTTCAGGTCACTCATCTCTTGCCTCAGTGTCAGCTCCTGCAAATATGTTCACGACTTAGAAAATATGCAAAAGAGAATCATAAAAATCCAAAAGAATTGTAGAAAATTGAATACTGAAGGCAGAAAAGAAAGAATGGGTTTAAGACATGTAAACCATCACAATTACTGACACAGGTTTCAACATGGGAATAGTGAAAAGAGCTTGAGGAATGTTATATTTCACATAACTATTATTGTTGCTCAACTTCATAAATGAAAATAATGTTGCCACACCTGGAAATTTCATCTTGAAAATGAATTTTGTCTCTTTCTCAAGGTATTTGTGTTGTGTTTGTTAGACCAAAAAGAGTGGGAGAGACTTTTTATACAAAAGAGATTGTGGAAATTTCTATTTATCATTACACATTTTTCTAACTTTTAATTCTAATCAAATATTTATTCTAAAATTTTAATCACTCAAGTAAAGTACTAATGATATTAAAGTCAGTTAGGTAATTTATATTTTAGTGACTGTTTCACTGCTTTTTAATAATTATTTTCATTTCAGTTTTTATCATGAGTTAATCTACATTTTGACTCACCTGTGTGTGGTAACCTAAGGCCTTGTCAAAGCATCGGAGCAGTCGATGGCCCAATCCAAGAGCACCATATGCAGCTGCCTCAAGTGCTCGGTCACGGCTCTGCCGTGCCAACTGCAATTGCCTCTGGTACATCTTCACTGCTTCTGGCACATCTCCTGTCTTGATTAATACATCTCCAATATTACCCAATGCTCGAAACTTGCTGGGAAGATGCTTCATCATGTGAGCTATTGCTGAGGAAAAAAAAGTTGCACATTTAAATTGTGATAACATCATATTACTGAGAATAAACTGATGATTTCCTGTAAAGTGGATTGTATTTGTATTCAAAATCCTTATTGCACCCTTAAAACCTTTTGTATGATATATTAACACATTACATTAACATACCTAGAAAGTACTTTTGACATTCCAGAGCAGTGTCCAGATTGCCAAGCGCTAGATGTGCCAGACCCAGATTGCAGTAGGCTCGTCCCATGCTCATTTTGTCTTGCAGGTCTTTTGCCAGAGCTAGATCCTGGTCATAATACCTCACAGCTTCCCTAAAGTTGCCCAGGCAATAATGAGCATAGCCAAGAAAATGACATGCTTTTGCTTCACCTTCTACATCATGGAGCTCCTAGAAAATAATATTTAGAGCAAATAAGCCAATAATATTGCCAGATTTCAGTCTACATTAAGAATACAATTAAATTTTTTTGTTATCATCTAACTTGCTTTCCTTACTCTTAAAGAGCATAAAATTTTAATGAGGCCAATAAACATTATTTAATTTGTATTAAAGCTTCCATTTTCTTTGGTAACCTTTTTTTCTTTTATGGAGGAAAAAAGTGTACATTTTGCAGATATTTATGTTGTTGTACTGACCTGTGAGAGCATGAGGTAGTTTTCATAGAAGGGGACAGCCTGGTCAAATTCTGCCCTGCTAGAAAGGCAATTCCCTAAATTTAGAAGTGCACAAGCTTCACCAGCTGTGTCTTTGAGTTCTCGTGCAGTAGCTAAATGAGCTCGATAATGTAGAAGGGCCATTTCGTGAGCACCCAATGCTTGATATGCTACAGCCAAATTTCCATGAGTGCTTGCTTCTGAACTTCGGTCATTAACTTCTTTGGAGATTGTAAGTTCTTGTTTATGGTATTTAATTGCCTTGGAAAAAATATGTGCATCAGAGTTAGTATCAAAATCAGTTTGTCTATGCATTTACACACTTCCAAGAGATTCGTTTTCATATATTAAAAATAATGTTTTTTAAATCCAATATACCTGCTCATAGTAGCCCATTGCAGAGTAGGCATTTCCTATGTTACCATAAGCTCTCCCCATGCCGGCGCGATCACCAAGTTGTCGTGCTATTCCTAAATGAGCTTGATGGAGCTTGAGCGCAGCATCATGTTCTCCCAGCAGCTGATATACTATCCCAAGATTGGAACATGCACGACCCTCTCCAACTTTATCACGAGTGGCCAATGCCATGTCCAGTTGCCGTTCATGCCAGCGCTTTGCCTGTGAGAAAAATAAATTGTTAATTACATTTTCTTCAAATAAATGTACTGACCAAGCGTATATTTTCATGTTTCAGTTAAATTTACTAACAACAAGAATAAATATTTGTCGTAAATTCTTGGCTGTCCGGGAGATGCTGCATCATTGGCTGAATGGCTGATGTTTCATCTGACATGTCGCAGGCTTCCTCAGGGCAGTGACAAAGTCATAGTCACTACTCTGAGAAAACTTGTGACATGTCAGGCGAAACGTCGGCCACTCAGCAAATGATGTGGCATCTCCCGGATAGCCAAGAATTAATGGAATCGAGCCACAGAAGCTTATGTGAGAAACTATTTGTCGATTAATTTGACCCTAATATTATCAAATGCTGTTAGGAAAGACTCGTGATAAAAAAATGAGTCCTTTTATTAATTAATGAAGAAAAATGAAAGTAAGAATCAATAAAATAAAAGTAAAAAGATATAATTCTTGATTTTGAATTCACTTTCAAGAAAATTTGAATTCACAAGATAATTCTTGATTTTTAAGTCGATTTGTTTAAATTGTTTATAATAGAAACTTAACTTCTATATAATGTAACAAAGATGTATCATTGAGTTTTCTTTTGCTCTAATGCCCTTGAACTGGAGTAATTAATTTTCGAATGCAATTATTTAGAATTACCTGTGCATAATCTCCTGCACAACGAGCAGCATGTCCCAGCCCTGCATAAGCTCTTGCCTCCACTGCACGGTCTCCGAGTTCCTGTGCTATCCTTAATACATTTTCATGGAAAGCTATGGCTTGAGCAAAGTTGCGTCGGTAATGATGAGATGATCCTAAATTACTGTAAGCTCGAGCTTCTTCAACCTATAAGTTCATAACATGTTAAGTATAACTCTCATTCTTTACTTTCCTTTGGTTTATAGACAAATTAATAATCTGAGCTGAAAAATAATATGAATATAGTAGTACTGATGTCACTCATTAGTTAAATATTTGCTCTTGATTTGAACTTAAAAATTGTAGGCTATTCTTATAAACTTGTTCAAAATGAAAGCCCATTGTTGAAAGGTTGTGTCATCAATCTCAGGAAGAAAGCATGTGTAGTTATTGATTAATACTTATTTCATATTGGAAGCAAGATGTAAGACTAAATCCATTTTGAACTTCTAATTTATTGACTTAAAAATTTATTTTTCCTGATATTCTGATTTTTCTTCCTTTTGTCTTCAATTGTTATTTTAGAGAAAACATCTTTTATTTATTAATTTTATCCAAATTATTTAGAGCAGTAAAAAGACTTAACACTGAAGAGTTTCAACTGATTCTTATTACCTGGTTTCCAAGCCTCCTTGCCAGTCTTAAATGTTGTGTATGGCAGTCTACTGCGCTTTCGAATTCTCCCATTGCAAGGTAGACTGCACCCACATTTCCAATTTCCCTAGCCTCTTGCAGACGATCTCCCATCTGCTTCACGAGCTGAACACATTGTTTGTGAGAAGCCAATGCATTGGGATAGTCTCCTATTGCTGTATATACATGACCTAGAAACAAAGTATTATTTTCCATGAGGTATTCTTTGACAAGTATGTATTAAATGAAAGAAATTATGTTTGTGTTCTTTTAAAATTTTCATTCTATTTAAGAAGGTTTTCATGACCAAAATTTCATTTAATGCTTGCTGAGAGCAAGAAAAATTCTGAAAATTAAAATTTATATTATTATTATACTACCTCAATATGTATAGTACATTTTTTACTTTTTTTTGCAGTTAATTAATTTAAAAAAAAATCAGTTTACTTTTTCTATCTTTCTAATTAGGTATTTAATTGTTGTTAAATGGCTCTCAGTCTGAATTTATTATTAACTTATGTGATTATATTAATAACTATTAGGAGTTTCAAAATCAAGATGTAACATTAGAATCTTAATAACAGAGAAAAATCAAGAATAATGGTAATTTTGGATGTTGTTCACTGTGAGAGCATTTTATTATGAAAATAGTGCATTTAAAAACATTACAATGACTATATCATCAATTATGTACTTGATGATTAAATCCTGTAGTATTGAAAACAAAGTATCAAATTAAAAATTAGTACTTAATTGAAGAGTCTACCACTTGAAAATGAGGGCATTATAATTTTATTTACATCCATCAAATTGAAAACATTTAGGAGCATAAAATAATTACCTAGGGAAGTCAGAGCAGCTGCAGCTGCTTGGGTATCCTTGCATTTCATTGCAAGAACTAACTGGTAGCGATGAGACGTCAGTGCCTCTTTGTAACTTCCTTTGCTGAAGTACGCTGAGCCAAGGTTTCCATGAGCGCGACATTCTCCTGCTATGTCTCCCAGTGTCTTGGCTACAGCTAAGTCTTGTTGCATATAACTGATGGCCTGTACACATACAACCAAAAAGTTGTTAAGAGAGAAAGTAGCAAATTCATCTAGACATTTCTGGCAAGAGTTTTGTGTGAAATGGAGAAGGAATGTATGTATTCATACACACCTGTTGGAAAGAAAGAAAAGTAAACATAATGATTCAGCAAAAGAAGTTGAACATATGACTAATTTCAACACATCTGAATTTCAAAAGAACTTTTGAATGTGGAAAGAGAAAATATAAAATAATAAAATAGTAAAAGATAAAGACATTTAAAAAGATCTTTTATAACATTTGTGAAAAATATAAGAAATGGCAGTGTTATTTCCTTACTCTACTTGGTTTCTTCTTTGGTTACAAATGAGTTGTTTCTTAGGAAAAAAATATTAACAAACTCAAAAGTACATTAAGTTATTACAAAGTAAATGATAAAGGCAAAATTGCTCTAGATTTTTCGCAAAAACCAATAAACAGAAAGGTTGAGTGAGTTTGAAAGTTGGCAACCAGACATTTACCTCTAAGGTAATTGTCTATCGCCATAATCGACTCCGAATTCGACTAGTATCTGACTCTTTCATACAAGTGTAGTGCTAACTTCGTGAATTCTGGAAGCAGATGGAGAATATCTTTAGCATCAGCTATCAAACTCAAGGAAATGAATTCAGTTGGATAATTGGGAAAGAGACAAACCTTATCTGGTTGGGAACAAGGCGCTTACAAAACTTTTTCAGTCGGCAAGTCGCAGGATTTCGTTTTTCGTCCAGTTTCCGAAGTGTCTTTCAGCTGAAGGATTCAATCTTTCTGGCGCCCCCATTCCAAAGCCTCTGAGAGAAAAGTCCAATCAGAGAGTAATGAGTTCATATCTCTCGGACACGAAAGGCTATTTGAGCCGGCCGCTGGGAGGACGAAGAAATCTTGTTGTGGCGTATGGAGGTCGAGAAATTGAACGAAAGTTTCGTCGTACAACAGTTCGGTGAGTGAAACCTATTATTAGAGAAGTATTATGGTTCATGAGAAACTACGAATACCTAAGTACCATTCTTTATAATAACGATTCAAAATGTGTCTTTCAGAGTTACACTTAGGACGTAATTCAGTACTCCATATGATCACCGTAATTTCCTCTCTACACCGTGTCATACGAGCCATGACTACTTATTGACTGCACTTTTGTGAGATGTTCAATATAAAAACCCATCTACTTGCGTCCCGCTGAAATGGCGCATATGGGTACCGTTCTAAAAGTTGTTCAGTGTTGAAGTTGTGGGTTCGATTTCTACATAGAGATTTCGACGCGAGTTTCCCGCTTAGGTGGCTCAGAGACTCAGTTCTACTGTTACGGTCAATTGTCCCGACGGTGTAGTACTTGCTTTATTACGGGAGATGGCGGTGTTCTTCCCCCGCAGGATGGTGAAATTCGGCGCCGACCTACATGTCGGCTTTCTGGAGTTTCGCCATCCTCGTATTTCCCATCAGCGGGGCACCGCCCAAGGTCCGTTTAGTCTCACGACGGGTGTCGTAATGTAGTGCTTGTAAGTGTATGTAAGTAAGGGACAAGAAAAAGGAAGGAAAGATTGCGCACGATCCTAGACCCTTTGTCAGGGAACTACTCCGGTATTCGTCTGAAGTTTATGGAAGAAACCACGGAAAACTACCGATCAGAGCAGCCGATCGCTAGCATTCTCCTCCAAGCACGCAAAAAAAAAAATAAAATAAAAAAAAAAAAATCACGGGGCTCGGGGGCCGCTCAGCAACAGCTTATTTTGCTTATAAGTAGAGGGCGGATTTTAATAAAATGCCATTTTTTTTCATTTCCCTTTAGAACAATAATTCTGAGTATAGACACAAAATTCCTGATTTATTTGCTCATAACTTGTAATGTCAGCCGTTGCATGTAATCTAAGGTTCCTGTGTTCAGCGCCATTTCGGGATAACTAAAGACAGAGATTTCCTGGTCAAACCAAACGTCTGGAAGCTGAGTTAACTTGAACGAAAGAAAGAAGGAAAGAAGCCTTGATTACATTATATATAATCCAACAGCTTGAGTTGTTCAACTGAATTGGTTTTGACTATTTTTTTACGTCGTTTTTCTTCGCTTTTAGGAAACAGATTAAGAGGAATTCATTGATCAGTTTTGGCGATGTTTCCAAGTCATCAAAGAATCCAGTTCACGTAAACTCCGTCCGTGCGGCGTGCAGGTGTCCGCGGCGGGCGGGCGGGGCGGTCGCGCGGCGGTCACCCTGCAGCGGCGTGCCCGTTGGCGTGCGTGCGCGCGCACTCGTTGTTCCAGGTAAGGCGGCGCGGTTACGATGCGCGCTGTTTCGCCACCCCAGGCGTTGACGGAGGAAAAACACTCGTGCGCGAGGAATTCTGCCTTTGCGGGGGCCTCCGGCTCGGGGGAAACTGCCGCAGAAAGAAATCGCCCGAAACGTCAAGCTGCGCTTGGTTCTGGGACAACGGCAAGCCCTCCTCGGCTCACGTTCGCTTTTCGTCAACGTTAGCGAGGAGATCTCTCCAGTTTGAATCAACAGTGTTTTGAATTGCAGGTACGTTTTAGATTTGTTTAGTTAAGAGTTAGAATTTATTTAGGAGAAAAAAACAATAGTTAAAAACGCGTATGTGATCGTTATCGGGGAGAAGATTATCTGCGCACGTTTTCTGTGTCTCCAGAATCCCTTTCCGTTCGTTTTAACTATAATATAGTTGAAAAGATGAGTAAAAGTTATAAATAAATAAATAAAAATAATTTAAAAAATCGCAGTTAGCAATATTGAAAAGAATGATTCCATTCCGGGATATTATTTGAAAACCTTTTTGTGCAACCTGTAAACGAATAGCAAGCTATGACTTTTTCTGTGCAGTGCTAACAAAATAGGTAATACACTCGCCCCTTTATTCTTCTTTTACCATTACAAGCAAAGGAGAGTTCAACAAAACGCGCGCATAAGTGACAAGCTACATTTACATCCAGAAGCAAAAACAAGGGGCCATCTTAGCATATTGCCTCAATGGCATCAGGGAAACAGGACAAAAACCTGTTCAAAAATGACTTTAATAGAAATCCTTGTAAAACTTAAGGGAATATCTCAAAGCTAATAATATACGCTTAATTTAAAATAAGGCAAACTAATTTGAAATTAGAATACTTAATATCTTTTAACCATACGTCGCGGTTTTTCTTCGACATGGCCAGGATGGCATTTCAAATCTCGAATCGAAGAATTGTTGAAGAACAAGAATATCTTCGATATACCGGGCCGAATATATGCTTGCTAAGAATGCTTTCGGGAATTATTTCTGGTTCCAATTTAGTTGATTGGATTCCCTTGAATATAAAGTGTGGAAAATTATATAAAACGAGTAATTTTTTATGTTCTACTGGAAGGATTGAATTCATTGCGTGGGGAAAAAACTGTCATACTTTTCCAGCCTGGGGACATTAGGAACTTTCTAGGACGGGTCGCTCTTTCCGTTTCTTATGTTGTTGTCAAAACGCTTCAGGTAAGCAGAGTCAAAGGCGAATGGGTGCGAATTGGCGTGAAAGAGACTTTGAGTGTTTGTTTACCATGTGGTATGCGTTGCTTCTCATACCACCCGTGCAAAGTCATTCTAACCATGATCATCACCCCTCATGATTACCCTACCATCAGTACTATAGTTGTGGTGCAAGAGCAAATTCACCATTATGAATCCACCTGCTCAGAAAAGGATTAGTTGTGCGAGGTTGAATTATCACGCTTGACCAATTTAACCCAGATTTACAAATATTTATCATATCGTACGGAGTGCCTTCTCTATGCATTAGTGTTTTGTATTGCGAGTTTTAAATTACCCTAGTAATCTTTTTTCAATTTCGCGGAGAATAAATTGAAAGTTTGGAGGCGCTAGGTCCAGGGACTGTTAAAAAGCATTTGAAGATGAAGCGAAGGAATGACCACAAATGTCGGATGGTTGCTCTACATACGTTTGTCATGGTCAAACGTACGATAGTAAGACAATGAGCATGGATCAATAAATTTACTCCTCATATTATGCTATGTAGCGTCGCGGAGATTACAAAGTTGGCGACTTTACGCTGTCCCGCTTTTAAGATAATGAGGGACAACTTGTTAGTTGAAACAGACTATCGTCAAGTAGAAACGAGTTGAAAATAGCGTAACTACCTTTGAAAAGTTACAATGCTTGATTTGGTTGTTAATAAGAAATGAATGGTACGCATAATAATAACAATATCGACCTTCGAGATTGCGTAATTGCTAAAATCATATCACCTATATCATGCGACAATGTAAATCTAGGAACTTTATATCAAAGGGCGTGGAGTTAACGACTCCATATTCTACATACGTGCGGTAAATGTCGTTAACCCGACCATAGATGTGTCGATGCGCAACTGAAGATGAGGATGTAAGGTACGTTGGAACCCCACAGAGATGTGATGTAATGTGATGTTTTGGTACATTTTAATAAATTAGTAATAAAAAGGAGTGGATAAGGACAAAATAATGTCATTGATTCTAATGATAAACTATAAGACTATAAAGAAAATCAAGTAGAAGAAATAACATGATACTAATGGTAACAATAAAAATGAGAAGTGAAAGGGGGAGAAGAAATAAATAATAACGGAACAAAACCATTGTTCACCATGCAGAAAGTGAACGGGTTAAGTGAAAGGATGTTCACCTCTGGACACTGGATGCGTTCTGGAGTAGATTTGGTAGAAAGAAATGTAATTATAATTGTAATAAGTATTGAAATGAGAATAAGGAGGAAGGAAAGATAAGAATAAAATGAGAAGAAGATATGTTGTGTTAATGCGATGACGGGAGGACGTTGCCTCACCCTGAGCGAATGAAACGGACGGAAGGAGAAAAGGAAGGAAAAGGGACAAATGCGATTATTGAAAGAGAATGATATAATAAAGAGGAAAGAAAGGAGAGGAATAGGGAGAGCAGAAAAGCAAACTAAAACGAGAACAAAGATGAGCAACGTATAAATGCATTGTCCAGAAGGCACATAATGACAGAGTTGAGCCTTTCCTTTGACAAGAAAATGAAAGAGGAGAGAACTGAAAAAGCACAGAAGGGAGTGGGATGACAGGGGTTCACCTTGACGGGCGAACGAAATAGGAGGCGCGAAAAAGGGGGTAGGAAGAAAAAAGAAGAAAAGATGCGAAGATGGAAAGAGAATGGGACATTAAATGAGGAGAGAAAGGGGAGGAAGAAGGAGCAAAATAAAACGAGAATAAAGATGAGCAACAGGAGAATGCGTGTTTCAGAAGGCACCGAATGACAGCGTTGAGCTTCACCTTGACGAGCGAATGAAATATGAGGATGGAAGAAGGAGAAGAGTAAGGAAAATGAAGATAAGAGAAGATGGGACATTACTGAGGAATGACGAGGACGGGGCATTAATGAGGAGGAAAAGGGGGAGGAAGAGGGATGGCTGAGAAACAGAACATAGCGAGAAAAAAGACGAGAAACACGGGATCGCATGGTGAAGAAGGCATGGGACGAGCGTGCAGCCTCACCTTGTCGAGCGAGTTGAGCGCCCAGTAGGCCGAAGAGAGTGCGGAGAAGACCGACCCGCGGAGCTTGAGGCTGCAGGTGCCGATGCGGAGGGCGGCCTCCAGCACGACGACGGCGGCGGCGTACTGGCCGGCCGCCAGCAGCTCCTGGCCCACCACCGAGATGAGCACGAAGGGCGAGCGGTCCAGCTTCATGGCCTGCAGCTGGCGGAAGGTGGGCTCCAGGGTGGCGCGCAGCGGGCTCTTCATGGACGCCTCCACCAGCCCGGCCAGCAGCTGCGTCGACTTGCAGTCCTGCGCCAGCCCCGAGCTGAACGCCGCCAGCGCGTCGCCGTGCCGCCCCAGGCACTGCAGCGCCACGCCCTGCCGGTAGTACGCCTGCGGACACCGCGCGCCAACACGTCAGCCATTCTCTGCGCAGACGCTCCACACACATGTACATGCACAGGTCATGTCCACTATATTGGACTAGAATTTAGTTAGAGCGTAGGCTTCCGCGGCCGGAGTCAGTATTTACGCCCTGAGGAATGTCGCAGAATAGTGACCGAAACGTCGGCACCTTTGCCATGGACGCGGCGTCACCCGGACAGCCAATTAAATATAGAATTTAGTTGTTAACGTCATAAGGCCGATATAGCGCAAATAACGATCGCGATTGAAATTTGTAAATCAATGTGATACCCAACCAAGTCCATTATTTGTGATATCGACCATACGTCGTTCATTACGCCACCTACGTATAAAAACAAGATATAATTGAGAGACATTTTCTTGGAATAACAGTACTCATACGACCTCATTAGCTTCAAGTTATTTATTTCCATTATTATAAACGGACGGTGTCCTTTAAACATTGTTAACGGACGCCGGCCGTTAAGAGTGGCTTTTAATGTATTTGTACAGTTGCGTTAATTGAATATAAAAGTACACAATTTCGAAACAATTCTAAAGAGATTTCGAAAGAAATTCAATTATTCAAACTGCTGGGCATCACACGTCTCGGCGCCAGCCGGTCTTTGAGCTACTCTCTCTTTCTCTCTCTCACTCACTCTCTCTCTCCTCACACACACACATTGACACGTCATCAGGTGATCATCTACTACTCTGGACTTTGTTTAATTCCAAAGAGAGCTTGAAAGAAATACAATTGTTCAAACTGTGAACATTGTTTGCGAAGTCAACACAACATCTATTCTCAAGCTTTAAGGGCCTTTCACAATTAACGTTGACATGAGGACATAAACATGTACTTTCTATACAAACATGGACATACCATTCACAATGATCGTCAACAAGAAGCCATCCATTCGCAGATATAATTACGTGCCGCTCCAATAAATACCCATCACAGAAATCCTGAACACAATGCAATGACATTAAATAAAATGGACGCGATCGAGCTAGAATGATAATTATTTTTTATACAAGAGCACAACACGTGATTACGTGAAGCGATGATGATGAAATTGCGAATGGCAATTTATCTTCTTCCAAACTGCATTCTTTCTAACGAAAACGCTCGACATTCTTTGAATCTTACTGTGGTATATGTTAGTGTTTTGCTGTTAATCCACTTTCACGTAAACCTGGAAGATTGGAGTTTACGAACTTTCACTTTTCATATATGTTTATGTTGCCGTTTACGCACACAAATCTGAATGTTTCTATCAAATGACAAGGCACCATGCTTTCGCCTAAGCGCCATGTTTGGATTTTTTTCATTATAAATGAGCCCTGCGTCCCATATACTTGTGAACGTCATCAGAAAATCTATTACTATGTCTATGCCTATTACTCTGTACTTATGGATGTAGTTAAGAAAAAAATAGATTTATTCAAACTGCTAGCATCATACGTCATGACACCAGCCGTTCTCGAAAAACGTTTAACTCTTTTCATATACATGCACGTGGCATCATAAACAAGTGGAGTCCTTTTTTAGTTGAAGGGGAACTCGAAAATATTTGATTGTCCAAACTGAGATTTAACCAATGACCATATTTCTACATTCATTCCAAATCCAACAAATATTCTGTGATGATTCATGCAAAAGTCAACAATGTTCTCATTTCTTTGACTTGGATTCTTTTCATTCGCATTGCAAGTCAAAAAATGAGTAATTATCCAAAATTTCGTTAAACAGCACGTTACATGCATTTCCTCTATCACGTTTTCACGGCGTCTACTATTTTAGTATAGGGTAATCGCATTCACGGAGATGCAGATACTACTTCATGATTCAAACACCAAACGAAGCTCGAACAAAATATCTTTCAAAATTGCAGTCTCCATTAATTTCAATTAACCAACAAATATATATTGTAATAATACCAATCGTAATCAAACAAGACTTTGGGAAATAACTGATAAATACACGAGACGTGGAGAACTGAGAAAAACATATTACTCTACAGTATAGAATGCGTGTTACGCTTTCAGCTTTTCACTCCCAAACCGTCATACGTCGGGTTTATTCCTGAAGGTCGAGGTATCTTTAGGTGACATATTTTCAGCTTGAGATTACGATGAGGAAGGCAAAAGCAGGAATATTTCATTTTCTATATAAGACTATTTAATTACAACTCCGTGGGGAGCTTGAAAAACGTGAAATTAACCACAATTCGAATTAATTAACAAATTTCCCTGACAGAGTCAGCTTTTACGCTGACTGATGCTCAGACCACAATATACTTTCACGGATTATTGTGATTCAATACTAATTCAATACTAACAACAAGGGAGCAAGACAAAGAGAATTATCCAACATTTAAGTGTATCGTCAAAAACATTTAAAAACTACAGTTGACCTACAAGTATGTTTTATGAACAAATTTAAAAATATATCACGAATGTCAACCATCGTAGCACAAACGCATGTTGCGGCAATCACTTTGCGCACGGATTAGGGGTTGAAATCGTTTTCAGCTACGTAGTACGTTTTCACCTGATTATGACATATCATAATTGCACCGGCAGGAAAGCCAGGTATCTATTAGCTAGTCTTGGTCATGAAAAATGTATATAATTCGACCAGAAATACACAAGCTGTGGAGCTATAAATGGATTTACTTACAAAGCACTTTTGGTATTCATTAAGACGACTTTAAATATATATGAAAACAATGAACACTTAAAAAATAATTATTTATATAAATAAAACGTTCTTATTGTAGTATCAACTTCTTTGATTATTAATACAAAGAGTGTGTTATTGCATGTAAGTAACCCTTGAAAAATCGTAATGAAAGGTAACATTATTTGGCTAAAATAACTGTAAGGGAAAAAAACGTTTTCATACTTATTCGATAACAAATTAATTAGTGTACACGTATTCCATCAAAGAAAGAAAGTGCTTTCGTAAAATATAGAGTCATATTTTCACTAATTTAATTAAAATCTGTCGAAAGTTAACCCTTACTGCTACGTAACAGCCATGCACATCAGAGCCAGGAGAGAATCCTTTGCTTAAAGAATATTGAATAAGTCAGTATCTTACTAACGAAACCAAGGAAATAACGGATGAACAAGTTAAATTCTTTTGACTTGGATTGTAGATGTCTGTGACTGCTGAAGTGAGTGATTATACAGATACAAGTATACAAACACGCATGTCATTTGAATTTCCATGGGGCATACACTAATATACATCGTATCACTCATACTCTGGGGCATACACTCATATCATCAGACATACACTCTCACACAGGAGGAAAAATTAAACGCACATAACATAGTGTCTAAGTATTTGAAATGTTTTGTATTTTAGTTCTGAATTCCATGACATTTTTCGTTACATTCCAAGAGATTTTTATGAGTAAACATTTTTCTCATGATACAAAGAAGCTTCACTTCTTACTCGTAGTAGAATATTCACAAATCGAGTCGTATCCCTGAACTTCAAAAGTGTTATTTATAATTAAATCTGCGAAGGTCATGACGTGAAACATTGGCGGTCAATTTAATAAACAAAAAATAATGTATGGGCGTGAACGTTTGATCATCTCGACTTGTAAAAAATTATGTTTGGCTCACCTGGTGCACGTGATTTATAAGTTAACATAGCTACAGAAGCTTGTTGATGTCAGTACAAAAATGAAACAAGTAAATGAAGTTCACGTACACTGAAGCAGACGTTTTTATATAATGAAATGAAGTAGTCGAAGATGAGAAAGGATAATTTCGTAACGTGATTTATAGATACGACGTTGAAAGGATATATAAACGGCTTTCAAACAAGAGGGAACAAGCAAAATCCTGAATTTTAATGATGTATATTTTGAATGCGAAGAACATTCATGTAAATTGTTTCAATGTGAAAACTTAATGCCTTTTTCAAAATAATTAAATTTATTAACAGTAATTAAACCCTTTCTCGTTAAAGATATCTAAATTATATCTGTACAATTGGATTCGCTTTTCTCTCCATGCAATACATGCATTCGTCATTAGATCTGTCAGGGATCGTAATTTTTTCGGAATAAAAATAATTTGCTTTCGTCTCTGAGAAGTTGTGTATTTAATGCATCGAAATCTCAAGCGAAAGAAACAATCTCCACTTATAAACTACCATGCTTACACTAAGCAAACCTAAATTAATTAAAATGTGTATCAGATATTATAATAATATATTAGGTAACATATTAATTCGATGCCTTCACATTTAAAATCCATTTCCACTTCACATTTCCACTCTCAATTAGATGTTAACTAACACATTTTTGTGAGACTTGTCGAGGACACAATTGTGGAAAGTAGACATTATTTAAAGGCTTATTAAAAGAAATCAGTGAAAGCAACAAAGTGAAGGAAAACTGGAAGAAGAATGAAAGAAAAGGAGGAGGAAGTGAGCAAGGAAGAAAAGGATAGAAGAAGATAAAGTAAGATTAGAAACATGGAGATCAAGCAAAAGAAAAATATCAAGGAGGAAAGTGGAGGAGAGGGCTGATGCGAGTAATTAAAACAAAGAACTTATTAATTATAGGTTCATTTTATGAAATTTAGGTATATTTTTATTGATGTATTTTTTCATGTTATTTTCAACTTTTCAATACTTATTTGGGGTGGATTATGAAAAATATGAACAGAATATGAGTATGTGAAGGATAAGAAGAAAACTGATGCAATTAATTCAAAGAATTCGGATGAATAGGTAAGGAGAAAAGAGAGCAGAAAAAGAAGAAGAAATAGCATACGTAGAAAAGTGAACGAGAAATAGAAGAGCAAACTGCAAATACAATGAAGACCAGCAGTAAAACTATATGTTATATAGTGTATATTTCTTGCTAATTATTATTTGTGTTGTAATATTTTTATATTATATTGTGTTTATTCTATTTTATTTGATGATGGTTCGGAAGGGGAGACAGAGAAAGAAAGAAGAAAGAGAGGAGAAGCTGAAAAGAGGGAAGACCCAAAGGAATAGAAATAGAAGGAAACTGAATGTGGCTGTGAAAAGGGAAGAAGAAAGATGAGAATGGATTTAAAAGGCCAAGAAGAGGAGATCATGTGGTAACTAGAGAAAAAATATTCTTTATCTGTTTTCCACTTTCAAAACAATTATTTTATAGTAATTTTTGCGTAGATATTGAATAAAGATTACTTTACTTTCTAAAAATATTAATTCATATAGCATCGCCAGAAATATGATAAAATCAATATGCTGGCAACGGTTAAATTTAAACAAGAAGGAAGTGATTTTGAGATAGTGGAAGAAACAGAAATAGAAAGGAAAACTGAAGAAATGGACCTGAAAGAATGTTTGGAGAGGGAAATAGATATTTATTGCAACGCTTAGGGCGCCTTGGAAAATGAATCCGGCCCTGTCGCGCGGAAGGCACCGATGTGCTTTGTTTGGGTGCAGGGTGCGAATTAGCTAATATCTCTACAGCGGGACACTCAAAACTACATGAGGGGACGAATCAAAGAATTGATTAGTAAAGCATCTTCGCTTAAGCAGTCTGAATTAATGCAAAGAATTCTCTCGGGAATGTCTTCTTATCCAATCTCCTTCATTTGTATTTCAGAATTTGTACATTTTGGAGTGCGGAAATCATAAACCAGACACCTTATGGGGATAAAATATATTTCTGAGGAGAAATTTATACTTTTCTGCATGGAACATCAAACTCTCCGGGGTGGGGTGAACCCCAGATTCCCACTAGAGTTTGACATCGCATGCTAGATTGATTGATTTCTTCGGGGAAGCTTCATTAGCCCCGTAAGTTTAATGCATGTTTTTATCACGGGACTTCTGCCCTGGATGGTGAGATCCGGCACTAATCTACACGTAGGCTTGCTTTGGTTTTCCCGTCCTAGGTATCTTCCTCAAGCGTTGCAAGGCCCCAGCTGGGACAAGCTCTAAGCTCCCGACTGATATCCCAACATGGTAGTGTAGTGCATATAGTAAGAGTAAGTGTGTAAGGGGAGGTAAAGGAACGAACGGATAAGGAAGGAAGAATCGCGCGCGTTTCGTGGCCTGGCGTTCGAGGGGTACTGATCGAAGTAACCTCGGATCGAGTTCTGTCGCTGCCTGGAGGAGACTTCTAGCAGCCGGTGCTCTAATCGGTATAGTTTTCGGTGATTTATCCGATCAATACCAGGCGAATTACGGAGCAGTATCTTACCAAACCTACCACGAATCGCGCACGATCTTTTTCTTTCCATTCCTTGTGCTATTCTACTCTTTAGATAAACACTTATATGCACTATCACACATGACGGAAAACCGGACAGGAGCTTAGAGCTTATCCCGGCTGGGGCGGTGCCCCGCTAGTGGGCGATACCTGGTAGGAGAAAACCCCGCTAACCGACGGAACGACAGCGCCGGATCTCGCCATCCAGCGAGGTACGGGACTAATGACCTTAGCAGTTGACGGGCCCAGAACCAGTAGTAACATTAATCAATCAATCAATCAATCAATCAATGAAATCCCCCCAAACAATGCCCGTCAATTCGCACCTTCCGCGGGGGCGTGGAGGGGCGGGGCCGGGGTGGGTCGGGCGCGGCCGCGGGCATAGTTACTGGGGGAGCGCTCGGCCGCACCTTGGGCCACTGCGGGTTGAGCTCGCGCGCGCGCACGGCGTCCTGCAGCGCGTTGGCGAAGTGGCCCATCTTGACGAGCGCCGCCGAGCGGTTCGAGTGCAGGATGTGGTTGCTGGGGTCGAGCTGCAGCGCGTCGCTGTACAGCGCCACGGCCGTCGCGTAGTCGCCCGCCTGGCAGGCGGCGTTGCTCGCGCGCACCTTGTCCAGGAAGAGCGCGCGGCTGGCCGCCGGCAGCGCGCTCGTGCCCTCGGGCTCCACCTGCGGCAACACCACAAGAATAGGAATAATAATTATTATAATAACAACACAAGTAAAATAAATCTGACCGAAGAACGGGAAACAGAGGCATTGTAAGTGTATCAAGAATCATTACGAACAAGACTACACAAGACACGCAGAATAACAGTGACTGCACAACTAATGCTACTTAACATGACACAAAAATGTTAAAGAAATCGTGGAGAGCCAAACCACTCAATAGACAATATCTAAAAAAAAGGGTCGGACAAGTTGCAGATCAATGAAGATCAATCATTTATGTGGCTGAAAAGGGGAAGAATGAAGCCAGAATCAGAAGCAGTTGTAGTAGCTGCTCAAGATCAGGCGTTGATAACACGACATAATGATAAAGCAGTTCTCAAAATTTCCCAAGATGATAAATGGCGCATTTTCCAGGAACAAGTAGAAACCATTGATCACATCGTCTCAGCATGTCCAATTCTAGCGAAGACCGAATATATGAAAAGTCACGACAGGATGTATAATTACCTCCACTGGCAGATCTGAGCCGCCCTCAAAGTTCAAAAACATATTTCAAAAGATTCGTACACTCACCAAAACTGATGACGTCTGTTAGTCTACAATATTGTACGGCCATCAAATTCAAACTCATCGCACGATAGTGACAAACAAACTGAACATTGTTATCCTGGATTTGGAGAATAAACAACTATGTGGCTACTTGTAGATGTGGCTATGCTGCGCGGTCGTATCTAAGTCGCATAAGTTTGTGTAAGAACTTGGCGAAACTCCCAAGTCATTCAAAAGACTGCGAAGTGCAAGACAATGCTTTACTGGGAAAGGTACACATTTTGCACAAAGTTCTGTAGAGTTACCGACAGTCCCTTGATCTGCTCCTTAGGAAGCTGGTTTCAACCTGGAATTCATTTTATACTCAACCGATTAATAACATATTTTGTCGTTACATAAAGAAAGTGAGAAGGCTAAGGCTTATTAATACTATAATAATAAATAACGGATGCAAAGGATCAGAATTGTCTTAGCCTCTGCTGCATCGCTGACCAGGAGAGCTTAGGGTTCGGGTCCCAACGGGCGCACATTTTCGAGCTATATAGCTCAGTCAAATACAACCGCTGTCTGGAGGAGAATTATATCGACCGGCTGCTCTAATAAGTCGTTTTACGTGGTTTCATCGGTTAATATCAGGTGAATGCTGAAAGAATTCCTTAACTAACGGGCAACTGACTGCATGCAATTTTGCCGTCTTCAACTTTCTCCTCGTCTCCATCTAATACATACACACACACTTACACACACATCGCCACCATACATGACGGGAAACTTAAGAGCTTATCCCGGATTGGGCAGTGCCTCTCTGTGGGAGATACCGCGAGGGGGAAGTCACGCAAGCCACTTGTAGGTCGGCACTAGATCTCACGTTTCAGCAAGGGTTAAATATTTCACGAGATATAACATGCACTACAGACTAGAGTGTGCTACTATAGTTGACGCGACCGAAAATGCTTCATAATCAATAATAATGATATTAATAATAATACTTATTATTATTATTATTATTATTATTATTATTATTATAGTATTAATAAGCCTTAGCCTTCTCACTTCGTCTTCACGAAGACCTCAAATTGTTCGTTAGTCTTAAACCGAGCTCGAGTTGCTGCAATACAGAGTACGAGTATTAAGTAGAAACAATGAAGTAGTTCAGCGTAGATAAATGTGTCACATCCATCTACAATCACCAAAACCTCAAATATCAAAGTCTCAGACAAGATGGCAATATTAGGCATGTCCACGGAGGTGACCTACAATTACCTAAGCTTTCAGCAGATGACGAATATCCGCACCAGATAGAGAAGAGAAGACTTCCACCTCGTCGAAATACAACCTATGGATGCGTAAAATTAGGAAAAGAATACTCAGTGGTGATAATTTCATTCGTGGTATCAATGCCTGAGGAATACCGGTGATCGGGTAAACTTCTGGAATGATAGACTGGTCTCAAGCTGGGCTGGATAATCTGGATCGCCAAAAACGAATCGTGTTCTCTTCTCATGCTGTGATGTTGACAGTCTATCTCTCCCGCTGATCTAGAAGTCGTGGACATGAGCAGAGAAAATAGACGGTTCAAGTAGAGAAGCAAACACAGGCAAAGTGCTTTGAAAATTCACTGAATTTCAATAGAGAAGCAAACATTGGTAGAGTTCATTGAACATTCGGGAGATGTGACTTGTTGACGTACTTAAGGAGGGTAATCTCCTCTTAAAAATGTGAATCCATGTGGATTAAATACGCGGAAAACGATGTATAAAAATTGTAAATGACTCTAAATGAAATCAACGATCACAACTCGAATTTACGTGTAGTCTCTCTCACACACTCTGCTTCAGAGCAAGTCAGGATACATCCTGATATATGCCTGCTTTCATAACTGATGGAATCTTTGAGATCATGGAGTACGGATCATATAAGAATGAGAGATCAATATTGCACATAGTCCATGACCTGCGGCACTGCTCAGGCATCTGCCTCTATTGATCATTAGAAACCAGAGGAACTACAAACAGGAATAGCCGAGCTCTAGAATTCTTATCCAAAGAGAAAAGTCAGCTGACAAAAATAGCTGCTGGCGAATATTATCTTTAAGAGATATCTCATAGGAGGACTCGGATATTTTTTTCTTTGGAACCTAAGTTTCTAAAGTAGAAAGTTTTTAAAAACAAAATTATGTTAGTTTTATCTCACAAATGCCCTCTACCAGTGGTCTTGCTAACTCTGGATCTGGTTACATTGTGAGTCATAATTGAGGAAAACATTCCGTTCCAGTGTGCATCAGGGCAATAAAATGTTTTCCCTTGCGTTTCTACGGCACGAGATGTAGACGCAATTTAACTCCTAAAAACCAGAAAAATGAAAACAATATTCGTTTCATGTTACCGAACAGACTGAAGAAAGAAGGACCAATAAAACAAGGCAATATGTAGCCTGCAAGGTTGCATGGCTGCGGGGTAATAGTGAGTGGCCCAAGGTCTTCAGATTATCAAGCGATCGTTTTTTTTTAAAGAAATATTTTTTTCTGGCTACACTTGACGTGGGGACTCCCGTGACAGAGCCCTTCAATTGGTTTATTATATATTGCCGAATATCTTCAAGAATGGATGTAACGGATTTCTTCTTTTTACTCCAGTTTGACGTTCTGTATATTTACCCAGTTTCTTTTTCTATTCATAAAGGGCAGGTTCATGTAAACGTTATGGGCAATATAGGCAATATGGTGAGTGATAGGTTTGATGTGTGTAATTGTTTGTAGTAGCTTGTTGTGTGTAGTTACTTGTTCGAGGTGAATCAGGGGGCTTGGGTGATGGATCTTAAGAATTTGTTTTGGGTGACTCGCAATATTTATGTTATATTTGGCAGCATTTGCCCATATTAGGCACGCGTACAGGAGGAGCGGTCTGATGATTGATTTGTATATGATAATGGTACTGTTTAAAAACAATTTAGTAGTTTTATTTATGAGCGGTGTGAGTTTAATTTTGATTTTGGCTTGCTTTACTGTGTTGTCTATGTGCATTTTCCAGTTGAGTGTGGTGTCCAGACGAAGTCGTAAGTATTGAGCTGCATTATTATTTGGAGTCTATGGAATGATGTTATTATTTATTCTTAATTGGATGGGAGGGAAATATGGTTTGAATATGAATATTTTAGCAGCTGATTTAGTAGGATTGATATCAAGAGATAGTAGTGAGAAAATCTATAGTTCACAGATCTATGAAAAAGGAGACTATTAGATTTATCAATTCCTTTGTTTTAAACAATTTTTCAAGTCGAAAATAAAAATTAAAGCGAACGTGTATAAATTTCTCACTTAACTGCACAAATTTATCTCTTGTGGCAGCAAACTATTGGTGGAAAGTAGCCCACTCAGGTAAAAAAAGATCACTGGCATCTCGCGGAAAAAGACCAAAACTTTCTGACGCAGGTGGAGGTTATTTCTTCGAAAATCATAAACCGTTTTTCCTCGTTTTCTCTGACTATTGTGCAGAGGCGGCTGCCTTCCTGTCAATACAATACAATAGGGTAGTCTAAGAAGATCATTCACTAGCAACTGCTCTTTCTTGGAAGAGAGTTTGAGTATTAAGAGAACATTCTTTTAAAGCTATTGCATTTGCTTAAGAAGAGGATAACCCCGTCAAATATTTTGTCGAAGAGGTCTAAATTCCTAACATCTTTTCTAATACAGCGGACCCTGCTTAGTTTATCACAGAATAATCAGAAAGAACGATTGCCTCCATTAAAATTAATTTTAACTAATATTAAAAATGTATATTTAGTTGGATTTTCCGAAGATTAGGTTTGGATAATTTAAAAACAAAGATGGTTTTAAAGGAAACTACTTATTCGAAAAGGAATTCTTAAATATAAAAATAATAAGATATAAGTAAACAACGGTAATCATAGACATGGAACATATTCGGGTATTGATTCATTATTTAGAAGTGAAGATCGTACCATTCAAGTTTGTGGAAAAAATAAACCTTTCCTATCCTTGGTGATCGTATTAAAAAGACCCCGCTGTAGTTACTATTAAGAGGTGATTAAGAAGAAGCGCCACAAAAGTTTAAATTCAAGAGACCCGATTTTCCCTAGAGTTTTCAATTACGCAAATCTGCAATTAAATGCTTAATGCAGAAAACAGCCAATTTTGATTTCCTAAACCATTGTCTCCTATATATGAATTGAGGCAATTCAATCCCCAGTATATCAAAATATGATAGGAAGTTTTTATTTTTCTCCTCGGTTTCAAGACTTCGAAGTCCCACTGTAATTATTCAAACTGATACACTTCTGAAGGTTCTGGATATACTGTCAATTCTTTTCTTTGGGTGAGATGACAATATAATAATGTTTTCCTTCCGAAGTATCTAATTGAAAGTAATTTGAAGATATATAAAATCCCTAAGCATTTTTTAAAAATTCTGTATTGTCGCTAGAGAATAGGTAATTATTATTTCTTTGTAAATCGATAACCAGGATAAATAAATAGAAGCAAAATATAAAATTGATACTGCATGAAACTTTTGACCATTACATTCAGTATAATGCCAGCGGAAAGCTTTCGTTGTGTTGTGCCCCAAGCATAGAAATGCATTGGATGTTCACCCTTTAAAACAAATATTTTGCTTCCGGCGGTGCGTTGGAACACTAAGCCTGGCAAACATTTGTTTTTACGTGTTTTCTTGGAAGACGTTGACAGTAATCCGAAGACTGTTCGCTCTCATTTCAAGCCCTGATACAAATACGTGAGAAACGTAGATTTTAGAAGGAATTTTCCTCTTCTATTCAAGTTGTTTTGAGATACCAGTAAAGTCATAGCTTACATTCATTTTGTTTATGGAAGTGAAGCGGAAACTTAGAGTTCGTACTAAGGAAGTTTATTGTGTCATGTTTGATATGTTATATTAAAATGATCAAATGTACTGAGCGGTTCGGGCAAGAGTTTATATTTTAGCAGAAATTTTTAAGTTATCAATAGAAGAATGCGTTCGGAATATGTAACTAAGGTGTATATATTTATTTAAATATTTATTTCGTACGCTTTTGTTTGTGAAAGTAATTTTAAGCTCTTCTATATATATATATATATATATTTATATATATATATATATATATATATATTTAATATATATATATATATATATATATATATATATATATATATATATATATATGATATATATTTCAAGTATACCATATATTTGATGAAAAAACCTGTTCTTCCTTGTAGACTAGCATAATAGTATCTAATACTCTTCGTTTACTATAGCAAGAGGGAAAAACTTTCTACCTCGTTGGCGATTCTCCAGAGTTTGAATTTAACCAAATGTATTTATGGCTCAATAGCATACAACACGCACTCCTCATTACGTTTCGCTAAATCACTGAGGGGTGACACGCACCATCTTCGCGGACACTCTTTTCCCGAGCACGTTATAATAGAGCCGGAAGGAATTTTGCTCTATTGTAAGGAGTCGTGAGGTAAAACAAAAGAGAAGAAAAAAAAATTGATGAGACGCCCGCGGGGGTTGGGGGCGGGCGGCGGGGGCGGGGCGGGAGGCGAGTGAGCGCGGCGCCTAAAATAAACCTGTCGCGCATTCCGCGCCCCCGCCCACCTCCCGCCCACGACGCCCGCCCCGCGCCATCGCCGGCGCGCACGCCGCTTAATAATCGCCCCGGTTTCGCCACGCTGTGGGCGTTCTATTGAATCCCGGGCGGCGGACGGTGCGGGCCGGAGCGGGGCGCTGGGACGCGGGCGATCGCGATCAGTGGTGAGAGCGCGCCTAGCTGCCGGGCGGCGTTGAGGGGGGAGGCAGTTGCGACAGTGGGCGCGGGAGGTCACGGTTAGAAAGGAGGAGATGGGGCGCGCGGGCGATGGTCTGCTAGTTATTCCTCCGAAGGGGTGACCTCTGGGAGTAGTAGTGCGGGGTCGTAGAGTGGACGGTAGAGACGGTGGCGACTTCGTGGGGAAGCAAGATGGACCGGCGGAGTATTGGTGTAATCGGGGACGAGTTTCGGGGACGGCGAGCGGTTGGGATGGACCAGGCAGTGGAAGGGGTTCTGACAGGGGCAGCGCGCGCGACGGGATCCGTGGGGAGCGAGAATGGCATGACGAGTGCAGCCAGGGCGTAATAGGAAGATGAGTTAACGTTGGTTAGAACAAAGAGTATGTTACGTGGTGGAGGAATTCAGATGAGAGACGATGGTGATTGTAGGTGGATGCGATATATTTGGTTAAGGGGTTTGCGAAGGGACATGAATTTGGAAGAAAGGACCGACGGCAGAGCAATGAGAACTAGATCAGGAGAGGGGGCAGTGAGGATGCGTGGCTAACGTAGAAGCGTTCTGTGCGGAAGCAAAAAAAATGAGGTTAAGAGTGCGGAACGCGGCAAACAAACGAGTATCCTACTGCAGCGGGTGGAAAGCAGTGAGTGAGTGCGGATGGATGGGGCGCGGCAGGTGAGCGCCTGCATAGGCGAAGCGTGTGGCAACGGCGGCAGGGCGCAGGGACCTGGGAGTGGGGCGGCAGGTGACTGGGGTGGGTGCGTTCGAGGGGTCGTGTGGAAATGGTGGTGGGAGCTGAGGTGACGGCAAGGAAGGCGAGGGCGGAGGCAGTGTCTGCGCGAAGGGGTTGGGGCGGACGGGGGCGTCCGTGCGTTGGAGGCGGTCAGCGCAGCCGGGGCTAGGGTTGGGTGGAGTTGGGTTGGTTTGGGGCCGGTGCTGGGCTGGGGCGGTTCGATAAGCCGGAGGAGATCCGTGTAGCGCACGGCGGCCGCCGGGTTCCCACGCGCTGCGCCGCCGCCGCCAGGGCTCCTCCTCCTCCTCCTCCTCCGCCTCATTCGAAGGAGGCCAGCGGCCGGCCGGCACCGCTCACCGCTCCCGCGGCCGCTGAGATGGTTCGGTGACAACCCTGTTGCCTCTGGAGCATCATTGGCTGGTGGGAGGTTTTCTACACTAGCTTAACTCGACTTCGGTTATAGTGAACTTCTGCGTACCAACATTTTTGGTTCATTAAATCCGAGATTCACTACATCCATGATGTCAAAATTAAATAGAATGTCTCGTTAATTATTTATTTTGTAAAAATAGAGATACAGCCAAGAACAATAATGACAAGAAATGAAATTTTCAATACCTTTATTTCACCTTGAAATATATTTTGAATAATTTACTGCAAACATTTTTCATTACTAATTTCTCTACATCCTTCTCCAGAGTTCGTGTTCTCTCCATATTTGTTCCATATTATCCATTTTCTCTAAGTATTGTAATGCAGCTTGACGCCATGCAATGCCTCTTGCTCTCCTTTACTTGTATCTTCTTCATCACTCATCAGTAAGGTCTAGTAAGACCTCCCTTCCGAGTCTGCTACCTCCATCTTAAGGGAGACTTCTTCGACAATACCTTTGGCCGACATTATTTTTTCCAAGCTGCATAGTGTTGAAATTTGGGGCACTGAGATGATATTTTTTTAAAATTTCCAGGACCTTGCATTTCCATTGTTCACTTTAAACGAGGTTCAGAATTCACTGGAACCGAATCTCGTTGTGTCTACGAGTAAAGTAAGTGGACGTGACGTAAGTCCGTGATACCGGACGTGACGTAAGTCTACTGTAACCGAGAGTTCAATATATCCGAGTTCACTATAACCGGAGTCGACTGTGCGACTGTAGATGGGCAAAATTCAACCACTGTCTGGGAATTCTGGCGGCCAGATGCTCTGATTATTTTTCTCTAGGTTTCTCTGATCAATATCACCAGGCGAGTATTACCTTAACAAATGACCTCGATCCGCTTGCGACCTTCCCTTACTCATTCAGGTCCCCTCCTGTCCTTTTAAATACCCTCCGCACTAAGATGCACTAAATTACCACACGTAACGGGAGGCTAGTCGGGAGTTTAGAGCTTGAAAAGTTACAGAGGATTCTGTTTAATTCGATATTGAAAAATTGATGTTCTGCATAATTCAAAGAAAGCGTTAGTTTAAATTTACTGTTTAAAGAAATCAATGTTGAGTTCCAATTGCTGAATAAATATTTCCTCTCAGATAATTCAACACTGGAAACATAAAGTGGAACATTGTACTAGAATGAAATTTTGCATTGTCTTTATGCATAATGGTGAATTTGACTTCCTGAGTTTCATACTACGATTTAAGCAGTATTTATTTTTTAATTCATTTCACAGAATTTTCATTTTGCTCAAAATGTTACGGAATATCAACATATTATGTCTAAAATTTGAAGGTCCCTAAAAACCACCCCTGTGGCTCTCTCATGATTGAACCTGCAAATCCATTACCTACGCTCCTGGAAAGATGTTTTAGGCTTTGCCATTGAACAAAATGGGCCTGATTCTCCTCTCCTCCGACAGATTGCGCCAAAAAAGCATTTCTGCGAGTGTGACAGCGGGATGTTAGAAGTCGTGCGGAACAGTTTCCATTTGCGGAGGTTGTTGAATTAGAATACGCTTCGGAAAGTTTAACGACGTGGGTGTTGAGCTATGATTTAGTGTTTATTAGTTGTTACGGAGCAAAGTACGTTATAGTCATTGGTAAGAGCATGAACATGTAGGATCGGAACACAATAAGTAGGTGATTGACATTTCTAAGAAGTCTATGCACTGCTGTGGAAACGTCCAATTACTGAACTCAATATGCGTGAAGTCGATTGTTAAGCGTTGTGATTATTTTGTACATGTGTCAGTCACATACCTCTTTTAATCGAACCATAGAGTCGAGTGTAGCATCTCCTTGGGACATTAACCATTCAGCCATGCATGAAGGTAAGTATCGAGTAGGTTTCGAGAATTCTAACCAGAGTTCCAAGATTTTTGAAATCCTCTCGTATTATACTCATATTCGTAAATAAGTACTTTGTGCAAATACAAGTACTTCGAACGAAAACTCCGTATGTCCTTTTGGAAAAGAGTCGCGTATTGCACTAATCGCAATAAGACTGGATCAGGGCATCAGTTGATGTCACCCCAGTGCCTCTGACCGAGAGGGCCTAAGGTTCGAGACTCGACGGTGGAGATTTTCAACTCTAGATTCATAGCTACCGTTCGTAATAAAACATGCACTGCACTTACGGGACTTATTACTATAACCGGTGACAAGCCTGGCAACATGAAATAATCAATGGTATATAACATGAGTATTCTGCTTTGCTTCATTTCAGTGGCTCATCGTGATAGAAATGGTTGCAGTAACACTGTGCGAAGCGGTACAGTCAAGTCAGATGATGGAGAAGATCTTTGGTGTACTACTGCAAATGAGAGCAGCAAGGGTAAGATGCACTTTTTTTCAAGGAATTTTTGTATCGGATTATAATGTCCAATTGCCGACTGATGTAATCAATAAATGGTAATTATTTTGAATACATTTTGTAAAAGTACCGAATATATTTACCGGGTAGGTGAGACATGGCCTCCGCAACTAAATATGAAGATGCACGTATATTATACATGAAATTTACCCGAGAACGCCGGAACAGAGCACGTGATAAGCTTAAACGAAGTGTGGAACGAAGAAGATATGCGATGGCAGTCGAACCTCGAAGGTCGGGAAATAACAAAACCCAAGGCATCACTTTTATTGCTGATACCACTGCATTTGCCGACGCAAACACATTCGCTGCTCCAAACGTCCCCTGCTCTGATGGCAACAAAACAGGGCACGCCCCACAATGCTCCGTCGCACACGCTCCAAGGTGAGGACGGACACTGCTGCGTTATCGCGCGACATCCCGCGTTTTCCGGTGCGGCTGCATATACACGATCCTTGACATAGACCCCCCCTGCCGCCTCGTTTGACTCGCGACAAGTAACG